GAGTGGCGCGAGCCTCCTAGCGCGTTCGACGCAATACGGACGCCGCCGTCACACGCCAGCGCGTCTGCGCGCCTCTGGTGAATCCCTTGCGATTTCCTAGAGCACTTCCGCGCTAATCGCAACCTATCAGCTGGAGAAGAAAGCCTTCAAGCAGTGGGGAAGTACGAGCGTTTGAGATAGAATGTGAGTAAATCAGTGGAGGAAAGGAATACAATGTGAAGTTGCTATCCGTTAACTCCTCTCCTAATTGATGCTTGTGAAGGATCTTATAATGTAGCTCCACAATACCTTTATTTATAGACAATGATAGACAAATTGGGCGGACGAGCGGGTTCATGAAAGTGGCCCGCTTAGAGGCTGATGTGTGTGGGGCCAAATGAGTTTGTCATAGGAAGGATCTGACCTTTCATCTTTTTTTCCCTTTGTGATAATCATTTTCTCGGTTTGTCATAGCAAGATTTCCGAGGTCGTAGAATAAAAGTTATGTTCTCAACTACAGCCTATCTACTGAATACCTTTTTCCCTACGGCCACAGAATTTTCTTCGAGAATTCCGATATATCCATAGGGTTGTTTGAAAATGACAATGTGTTACGTTCTCTCACACTCAGAGACATTGTAGTGCCGGCTCCTTGGGTTAGGCAAAGCAGACAGTATCTACCCAGATGAATGTCTACTAGTTTATAATTTATGATAAATTTTACTGAAAATAAAATTTAAATATTCTTCTTTATCTTAAAAAGTCGAAGACTTGTTTCTTTCCAAGTGTTATAACGAGTCTTTCCATCTTCTCCTTGGTCTGCCATCTTCTCTTCTTCCCCTCGGCCTTTCATCCCTAGTAATCCTCACGATTCTGTTCTCCTCCATTCTCTCAATATGATCGTTCCATTCCTTTCTTCGGTCTGCTACTCATTTCGTAATGGGCTTAACTTTGTACTCTTCCCTGATGTTTCTGTTTTTTTCCTTATCCAATAGAGTGTGATTTGTAATTTATCTCAGAAGTCTCATTTCAGCGATCTCAAGATGTTGGCTAGGTTTCGTTTCTCTTCTTGTTTCTCCTGCATATGTTAATATTGGTCCTGAATATATATGTTCTCTTGCATATATAATTATTGATTGATATATTCTAACCTTCGAGTCCTCTTTTATGTGTATTCTACCATATTGAGTAGTTGAGACACCCAGCGATCCTATTACCCTTTATTATTTGCTCTTTGATTTTTTTCCTTTTGTTCTGAGCTTAATAAACTTATTCCCACATACTTCATCTCTAGAACTTGTTCTATTATTTGATTATCCACTACCAATTTACATCTAATCGAATTCTTAACAATTGTCAGAGCTTTCGTCTTCTGGATAGATATTTGTAAATTAAAATTCTTATAAAGTTTACTCAACTCGTACAGTAATGGTTGTAAGTCATCTTCATTTTCTGCTATTAACAATGTGTCATCTGCGTAACATGATATTTATATTATATTTTCCCATACTACATCCTTTTTTTAGTTATTTTATAATACTGTTCATCATTACATTAAATAACAATGGGCTCAATGAGTACCCTTCTTTTATTCCTTTCGACGCAGTTAATATTTTCCCCTGATCTTTCTTTATTTCTCTAATCCTTGCATTAACTTTGTTACTGATATTTTTATATTCTTGATGAGTTTATAGTGTTTTATTCTGTTTGAATTTTATATAAGCCGCTCTTTTCTTTTGTGCTATATCGTTCACTTCTTTAGTAAACCAAGGCTTTTTTTGTTTTATTTCTTTTTTGTATTTGTTTATATTATTCCTGCGGCCTCTTTAGCAGCTTGAATAGTATGTGCTTTTATTTTATGCCAAGACATTTCTAAGCTCTCATTATCCAGGAGTGAGATATCAGAATGAGTGTATTTCTCATTATCCAATTGTGAGATATTTCGTCATTCAGTCTGCTTTTACATAGATACCTGGTAGATTCATCACTTAGTGCTTTAATGTTTGACTTTCGTACGTGTTCCGGTTTTCCTTTTGCCATGTTTTTCTTCATAATGAACATTCGTAGTTTTATTAATACCAGATTATGATCACTGCCAATATCCACTACTGATAGACTCCTTCATTTAGTATCTGGGATGGGTGAACTTCACGGTTAATAAGTATAAAGTCAATGGTGGAGTTTTGTCCTCTTGCGTTCATCCATGTAGTTTTATGATTTTATTTATGATCAAAGAGAGTATTATTTATTCTTATTTTGTTTATGTTACTTATTCGTTAAGTATTATCAACGCAGAAATCTATAAGAGTAACTCCTTTTTCATTGAGATCATGTTCATTGAACTTGTTCTTCATTCCAGGGATGATGGGATTTTCTTCTCTGGCATTCATATCACCCGTTATTGCTACCGGTTCTTTAAGATAGATTTGGCTGATCGTTTCTTGGAGGTCATCATAGAATTTTTGTTGTGGGATGATTTATTATTTTCTGGCGCGTATACGAATATAATGTTGATTGGTTTAGATTTATTTGCCAATTTTAGATACAATTATTTAGGAGATGTAGTTGTGTTTAATTATGTTATTTACATATTTGTTATGCATTATGATTGCTACACCCTCCTTTGCTCTATGATGTTTTGGAGGTCCGTTTATATGTGTGTAGTGACCCTTTTGTGAAATTCCTTGTCCCTTTTTCTTCGATTCTGTGAGTCAACATATGTCAATTTAGTTCCTGTCAAGTTCCATTAGTATTTCATATACGCTTGTATTCCACGATCTTACATTCCATGTTACGATCCGTTTCCAATTCATAGTCCTTTTTGTTGGCAGAGTTGTCATACATATAGGATTGATCCGAGGAAAGATCTTGGAAATTGAGCGGTATTTTTTTTAACTCTGAGCAGGCTGCTAACCTCACTCAGGAACCTCCCTCCTTTATCCGGGCTTGCGACAGGCAGTGGGCTGCTTCGCTACTCAATTCATCTCGCAAACACCACAGAGGGAGTCAAATAAAAAAAACAACAACATAAAATGTCAGTTAAAATTGAAATGAATTGCTGTTTTTGTATTTTCATCAGAAAATGTAAAATGAATATTTCAATATCATGGTACTACATAAATAGTCAGTTTACGTCTTTTGTAACAAGCCGAGCTTCATCAGACACACATTGTCACGCGTATTTGTGGTTCGTTCGGAGATTGCTTCGCCTCGCGCTGTATTTTCTGAACGTCTTACAAAGAGAGTAAAAAAAAGACTAACGAACGTAAAGAGCACGACTTAGTTACAATGTGGATCACTTAACTGTGCTCCTAGAAGTATTTTCGAAGAGATTCATTTTGGCTTTTTTTGAGGGGGGGTTCGACTTTTGCTTTGACAGCCTATTTTAAATATTTGCCCATATTTAAACCTCTTTCTTCCTTTTTCATCATTATTTTCCTTTTTACTCTGGCATCGATCTCTGCCAACCTGGAAATTTATGTGAAAATCTGGGTACGGTGTGGGCATTGTCCAGGAGCATAGATAGGCCAACCTATACACGGCAACCGAGTCGCGGAGGGCAACCGCCATTCCTCATCGCCAACAAAGGTGGCGGTACCTGTACAGGAATATTTTTTCGGTATCCCATGGTAAAAATACACTGTAACAATATACAAGTTGTATTGTCGTGTTGAGTGCAAGCAAGATTACAAGAAATATCAAGTTTTCGCTAAAGAGTCGTAAAATGAAAAATTGAAAAATCTTTTAAATTACTTGTATTATGGAATTGTTTTGACCCAACAATATTTTGAACGCAGTCGTGTATGCATTTTTGCAGTTCTATTTAAGAGAGACTACATGCCATCCTACATGCATATTTCAATTTTCAAATGCATTTTACCGGTCTATTTTTTGCGAAATAAATACCTGAACTTCCGAACTCAGAGCATTGTCCGTTCTTACATTGTTTAAATAAGTAATTTTTTTTCTGAGTATCGATTCTCAATGCATCGATCCTCACTTGTGGAGTAACTCAAGATCATGAGAACGAATGCTGGTATGGCCCTCGTGTTTGTTTCTGTTCAGTCGGAGCTTTACCCCTTTCTTTCCCACTATCAGAGTGAATTACTTATTGGGTCAATTAATAGCTATTATTAAAGGGATGACTGCAAAAATAAAATAAAAAAGAAGCAAGAAATAGGTCAGAGAAGAAGGAATCGAGGGAAGTAAAAGGTCCATCTTCTCTAACACGGTAGAAATCGAATTTTACTATTTACACTCTTCCTTATCAGAATAATCTCGTTCCTAGAAGTGTGAACCAAGCAATCGCCGTCAGGAGCCGGAAGCGTTCGCGCCGTCCTGATTGGGCTGCGCGGCGGGGGAGTCCCCGTCGTGGTCGCCACACGTGTCGTGTTCGCACGAAACGCCCAGAAACAGGGTCACAACTGAAAATGTGTGCGTACACTTGCATATAAGAATCTGTGGGTGTTTTAGAGGGGTCTGAGTTCGAATATTGTAAGTAAAATTTCAAAGGTTCGAGTCAGTTTTCAGGAAAAAATGGATAAGAAAGAAAGTGTGATTGAAAAAAAGTTGTGTGAATTCATTGATTATGATTTATTTAAATTTTTTTAAAAGTAAAAACATCCGCTTGCTACAGACTCTTCACTGAGAAGTACAATATGCGAACATTTCCTTGAGGTCCAGAATCACTAACCCACTCTTATTTATTGATACTGTATTTGCTATACTGAATTTATTATTCGTCACAATTTTAAACACTCATAAACGTATCGTCACAAATGTATTTTATTCGAAAAAGTCCACAAAAACAATAGAGGTGATAATTTTTATGTAGTCAAAATCGTCAACACATATTCAATAATCAGTGAAAGCGAACGATTAGTCGCAAACGACTAGATCGCGAAAGGAAACGACTAGATGGGAGACAACATTGAAATAATGTTTTGCGTCCGAGTTATTGAGCTCCAATGCCTTCTGTACAAAATTTGATAATTCGAACGAGTACTTTCACTTTTCTCGTTATGACCAGATTGTGGGGGTTTGGGGCACTTAGTACTGCGTCGCCCGGCTTCCGGCCTCGTGCCTAGGCTCCGCGCAGCGATAGCCCCGCGCCGTGATACGTCGCGTCGAGGACCGGATTTTCCTGTAACGACGGCGGCGCGGCCCGAGGCGCCTCTGTCGGCGCCAGCTGACGGCGGGGGCAGTTTCGGCAACGGACATTTGGGCGGATCTGATGGTCTTGCCACGCTCTGCGGTTGTGGGATAGAGAGTTTATTTCAGGATGCTGACAGTCAACAGCTGGAACCATGGGGGACTTTTTCGTCACGTCGTCGTCGTTGACGGGTAAGCACACAACTCTCACCAACATCTATTTTGCGTAGGTATGTTACTATTTTTAACATCCGTATATTACTATTTATCATTAGCAGTTCGGTGATGATTTTATTATCTTACTAATAGTGCTACAACAGCAGATATTTGTCCCATTATTTGTAACAACTCCGTAATATTATACTACGACATGAACCTGCAAAAGAGATTTCTACCTCCAAGAGAATTTTTCCCCATCGAGACTCGAACTCAGGTCTTTCGAGTTCACTCGTCGTGCGCCATACCGCTACACCAAGCAGCCACTCTGACGTACGAACTCGGGTCGACGCTTAAAATGCTAATTGTCTCAACCCAATATTTCCAACAACCAATTTTCGAAAAATCATAGAAATCTTCGAAAATGAGACCCCTACCATTCTCTAAGCGTTTCTCGTTTTATCCATTTGGAGCGGTTTTTGAGAAAATGTGTTCTTAAATGAAATTCATTTTGTGGATTTGAAATGTTAACTTTTCGAAATTTTAGAAAATAGCACGAAGTGAGACTTTCACAACATACTTTACCTTCCTTTATTATATTCTAGGATAAAATATAAAGAAAAAAATGAGAACAGTTTTTGAGACCTAACCGTTTTTTGAAAAAAAATTGTACATGACCATACTTGAACAGTTGGTTTCTTAAACAAATTTTAAGGCAAAAATCTCTATCTTTTATTTTGTAATATTTAAGCGTTAAAATTTTGCAATTTTCGAAAACAAAAAGAGTTTGCCGGAAATGAGATAGACAATATTTTTTTTCGCAGTCAGCAGTATGTACATAAAGAAAATTAAAAGGAATAATTCAAGAGCTTTTTTGAGAAAATAACTTAAAAAAAATTCTATATTCAACGCACAATACGCGTCAACTACTCATATATTCGAAAAATTGTGGATCTTATTTTAAAATGTTTTTAAAGAACAGATTTTATTAATGAAAAATTATAACTTCAATATTGTACATGGAGAAAAAAAACGAGGAGAAAAATTGAACAATTTCAAATCAAGGATTTTAACAAAGTTGAGACCAGCAACTTTTCCTAAAGCACTCATTACGCTATCCGAGAACAAAGTATTATCAAAACCTTCGGACACTTTTTTGAGAAAATGTTGTTCAATTAAATAACTCCCAAAATCAAAGTATCCATTTTAAACTCAGAGGGCTTTAAGTTCATTTAAACTGATTAGGGAATATCAATTTTGGAGAAAACTAGCTGAATGAGGCGTTAAGAGATGACAAGAGGCGGACGGACGTGTGGACACTTTTGCCGTCAATTCATTTTTCGCCATCAAAGTCATCAAAATACGGATTCCGACTACATCATGTGTTAAAGAAAGGAGTTTACTATACACAGGAACAAGATTAAGCCACTTTTCTTTAACAAGGTCCAATGATAGTTTCTCTGCCAAAAATTCGTCGTTTTCGGGCGCACGATCAGCGATAAAGTAAAGAAAAAAGAGAATATTAATGATTTATAAGTTATAAATAGCCCGTAAAAAAGCAAATTTTTTTCTGGAAAAAATCCTATATTGCTTCGCTTTCGCTGAAAATATATTTGCACATTTGTTAGATTTAAAATACACATTCTGTAACTTCGAAATGAAAAGAAACGGTTTAAAGACATCGTATAGATTACATCAAAATTGTTGACAGAGTGGATAATTGAATCCTTTGCTAAGGCTGAAATAACGAAAATGGGAAAGTATCATCAAAACTTGACCTCCATCATTGTCATGATTTGTTTTATCATTTATTTTCATTCTAAAATATTGTTTTTGAATAAAATATTTAATTTTTGAAACTTAGAAAACATTCCTTTGTTTTTGGTCAAACGTTCAAAAATATCACATAATAATGTGGTCTACTATTTGATAAAATAATAAATGATGCTTTTTTAGTGTGTAAATTTGAGACTATATTATATGGCGTACTTCTTTTTAAAAATACTTCTTTTAATTTTATTTTGTTCCGAGTGTCACAAAAAAACTAGTTTATTTTTCACATGTTTAGCCATATGATTCGGATTTTCCCCTCTCGATTTTCTGAAGAAAAAAAACACCCAATTTAAGTTTTAAAGTTAATAAAATTCAAATTCCCGCGGGAAATGTTAATTGGACATGGTTGTTTCTTTTATATAACCTTTCAGTAATAAGCAAATAGTTTCAGAAAACGTAGATTCCTCAAACGTTTGACCAATTAAGGGTGAAAAGATGAAGTATTTTGAAAATATTATGAAAAATATGTTTTGTCTGAATACATAAGAGTTGTCATTATAAAATTATACTGTAATGAAAAGTTACTATATAGTAATTTTATGATAAACTATCTCAAGTAACCTAACATTGCCTCAAGTAGCCGTACAAGGCGTTGTCCGGAATTTACCTAAAGATACAACAGGTTTCACATACCAGACCATTTTTGAATTTTTTTAGATTAAAAGCCTGTTTTGGGGTAACAAATCAAAACGCCGCTTTATTGGAAGCTTGGTCGCTTAGAAGCATTTACGCCAAATTCGGGAGCAATCATTCCAATAACACTATTTTTTCTGACACATACGGTTGTAAACAACTTCCCTTTGGTTTAATAAAAGGTAAAAATATATGCTAACATAATTTATTTAAAAAATACAAAACATTATTTTTGTGCTCAATTCAAACACTAATTTCATTAGAACGCAAAGAATCGGTTTATGTGGGCCCAAAATAGAAAAATATTGAAGACATAAACATCGTCTCATTTTTTATTAATCATGATAGGATAATTAGAATGGGGAGTCAATAATTATTTAAACGTAATCGTCTGTATTTTGTAGTAACAACAGTTTATCAATAAATACTCTTATTAATAAATAATTCAAGATTAACTAAAAGTATTAACAAAGATAAGCTCTTAATTAATAATTCACATGCAGTTTCCCGCCAGGAACTTCATGGTTCATATCATAATAAATTGCAGTACGTATCTGAGAAAAACAACACATTAAATTGCACTAAGTCTCAATATTGCTTTTTTAAAAATAATGTTCAATTCATTTTACGAATAAAGGAAACCGACAAAGGAAGAATACAGATCAATAAATCAATATTCGTTTGTACATTATTGGGTACATTTATAAAAAAAATTCCAAAAGAATTCAACTCCATATTTAATGAGCATAAATAAATGTATTACATAAATGGATTACTTATTACCTTGTTATGAACCACTAGTACCACTAATAACCTTTTAGACAACAAGGAAATTAAGGAAAGCGAATAAGCAGCAACTCATTATGTATATTATTATCATCCCTATTAACAACCATACATTTTACATTCTTTCAACAAAACAATTAAAATTATTCAAATTCGAAAAACTAGAAATTCTTGAGGTTTTTCAATGTGTTAAAATTCAGACATTGAACTGAAAGACTAGTAGAAATCGTCACTGTACGCCGTGTGTAGTAGCAACTAGAATTACATCACCCCAGACGTTTCAATAGTTTTTCTTCTAGCCCGAATGGATTAGTCTGTTTTAGCGTGCCATAGTATCATTTGGCAATTCCACAGAGACCTGTTAATATCGTATCGACTGCTCCTTTCTCGCACGATACAAGAGCATAATGGCAGTAAGTCAGTTTGTTTTTTAAACAAATCATCTCATGGTTGACGCACAACCAATGAGATTCGTTCGGGTGTAATGCAAGGGTCACAAAATTATCCCTATCACGAGGTTATTCGTCGCCCCATATCCGGCGGAAGGTAGTGAGAGCGAAACGGAGAGCGGTGAGTTGAGGGCGGTGAGCGGAGGGCGGTGTGCGGAGGGAAGTGGGTGGAGGGCAGTGCACAATGGGTAGTGAACAGTTGGCGGTGGGAGGTGGGAAGTGTGCGATGAGCTGGGAGCGGTGGACAGTAGTGAATTTTTGGTTGAGAATGGTGAGTTGCGAATGTTGGATGTTGAATGGTGGATAATTAATAGTGGGTTGTTGATGGTCGGTGATGGGTAATAGGTGGCTGGTGGAGAAGTGAAGGTGATGAGCAGGGGGCGGTGAGCGTTGGGCAGTGAAAGATTGGTGGTCAATGATCGGTAGTGAATGATGGTGGGTAGAAGACGATGAATAGTGTGTTGATGATGATTGGTGGTGAGTGGCTGGTGGTGATTAGTGGGTGTATAATTGGAAGAAGGGTCGTGAGTCATCGGTGGAGAATTGTGGGCGGTCTATTGTGGACGGCAGTTGGAGACGGAAGTGGGCAAAGAAAAGCGACAGGCACCGGCCAAGCGCACGTGTTCACGTTAGGTGCCGGTCGCCCACCGCACGATTCGTGGCGCGAGAATCGGCCCCAGTAATTAACGCGCGCCGCGACTGCGTGTGAAGCCCTTTGATCCTGCCTTCGGGCACAATAGAGCCGCACTGCCGACGCCCCTTCACTTCTTTCCGCTTGCGTCCCCCAGAGATTCCCTTTTTCACGATTTGTGGGCGTCCTTTTCCCATCAACGGCTGAAATTTGCTCCAGCAGGTTTTACGAAAGACAGAGTATCCTTGTTTGCCCTGCAAATCTACAAACCGAGCACCAGTTGTACGAACCAAGAGACCGTTCACATCTCTTGGTTTTGAAATTTAAGAAGCGAAATAATTTATCTATTCACTTTTCACCGTGTAACGAATATGCTTTAATATTCAGCACAAAAATGATAGTAATAGTCACTTACTTCATCGTGCATTTGCATCTACAACTCACAATTAGTTAAATGTGATAATAAACCATTACAATTCAGAACAATATAATTGAGTGATTGTACCAAAATGAATATGAATAATAAATTCTAAAGGAGTACAAAAGAAACGGTACCAAAAATTTTCAAAGCTTTCAATTTTTCTCAAAAAATTCCAAGTGAGGTGTTGTATAGCTGTAGAAGATACTGTATCCATAGAAATCACGTATTCGCAAGTATACTCATTAATCCTAATTCTAAAATCTAATCTTATATTTTGAATAAT